CATTCTGTGGGTTGTCTCTTCACTCTCGGTTGTTTCTTCTGCTGTGCAGAAGATTTTTAGTTTGATAATGATCCCATTTGTTGATGGTTAGTATTTCCTGTACAACAGAGGTTCTGTTCAGAAAGTCCTTGCCTATGCCTATGACTTCAAGAGTTTTACCTATTTTTAAAAATGTATGTATTTATTTGTTTAGTGCAGGGTCTCGCTATGCAGCTGGGACTCGTAGTGATTCTCCTGTCTCAGCCTCCCCAGTGCTGAGGTTACAGGCCTCTGCCGCCATACCCAGTTTCTGTGGCCAGGACAGTATGCCCTGATCAGAATTATGTTAAATCTGTCCATCAGTTTTGGAAATATGACCATTTTCACTAGTTTAGTTCTGTCCAGGTACAGGAGGCATCTTTCCATTTTCTGGTGTCCTCTTTGATCTTCTTTTTCAGGGTATAGTAGTTTTCATTGTAGAAGTCTTTTACTTTCTTCTTTAGGTTAATTCCTAAATATTTAATTTTTCTTGGTTTTATTGTGAATGGTATTCTTCCCATAGTTTATTTCTCAGTGAGTTCATTATTGGTCTACAAAAATACTACTAATTATTTTTTGTTGATTATTTTTGTTTTGTTTTCCCACTTCCTGATCCACCTTGTGCTGATTTTGTACCCTACTACATTGTTGACTGAATTTGCTTATTAATTCTAGGGGTCTTTGGTGGATTTTAGGGGGCATTCTATGTAGAGGATCATCTCATCTGCAAATAATGATAATTTCACATCTTCCTTTCTTGTATATATTTGCTGGAGATCTAGCTGGTGAACTATAACAAGGAAAATTTAAAAGCAAATGGGAAGAAATAAGCATTTTTAATTCACAGAAATTATTACATACATACAAAAGACAAAACACCATGCAGCTAGCCTTAATAAATATTCCTGGCACTCCAGGAGGCTGAGATAGGAGGATCACAAGTTCAAGCCCCTCCTGGGCAATTTAGGGACTTAGTGAGATCCTTTCTTAAAGAGTAAAATAGGGCTACGAATGTGGCTCAGTAAGAAGGTCCTGGGGTTCAACTGTCAATGCCCAAAATATTTTTTTCCCAATGTTTTCTCCTAAATATTTGTAGTTTTAAAATTTGTATTTTGTGATTCACTTTGAAATAATTTTTGCATGTGATGCTGGATCTGAAACAAAACATACTGCTTTGTGTGTGGCTAGCTGATGACCCCATTAATTTTTTTTGTATCAGGAATTGAACTCATGACCTGACTCTTGGCAGGCAGGTGCTGTGCCTATTCCATTAATCTTGTTGAAAAGATTTTCTTTTTCTTGTTGAATTTCTTTGACACCTTTATTGAAAATCAGGCATTATATTTTATTCTTTACCATTGATGTATATCTTTCTTTATACTGATTCCACATGATTGGTTATGTTTGCTTTCTAATGAACACTGAGCTCAGGTACTGTTTGGTTCCTAATTTTGTTCCTTTCAAAATTCTTTTGAATTTCCACATAAATTTTAGAATTTTATGCTTTTCCATTGTGTCATTTTTGAATCCTTAGGTGAGTGTGGAGAGAACCAATTCTCAGCAACGTGGAGTCTTCTGATCATGAGCTATCATTCTGTGTACTCTGATCTTTAATTTCAGCAAAGTTTTTAGTTTTCAGGGCATACACATTGTGCATATTATGTTGGATTTCTCCCTAAATTTTTTTTTCCTGCAGAACTGGGGATTGAACTCAGGCCCTTGCACTTGCCAGGGAAGCGCTTATTCTACTGAGCCATCTCCCCAGCCCCCTAAGTATCTTTTTTAGATGAGACTATATGGTACTTTTATTTTTTTATTTTTTTTTCAAAGTTTTATTGACAAAGAGATAGCAATGAGACAGTTTCAAATCAAATCGGAAGGACAGTTTCAACAAATAATACACTGCATATATTCTTCTTAGTGGTTAA